ACTCCTTGTCTGTTCAAGATTTATCATGAGATTGCAGCAATTCAGTCACATAATCAGGCTCCCCTTCCAATTCTAATTCTCTTGCTATTCGCACCATATCTGTAGTTACTTCCTTCACTGAAGTTTTGAACCCTTCAGAGTCATTCATGAGAGTTGGAATCAACTTCTTCCAAACTCTTTTTAATGTTGATATTTTGACCTCTTCCCATTAATCACAAATGTTCTTATGGCATCTAGAATGGTGAATCCTTTCCAGAAGGTTTTCCATTTACTTTGCCCGGATCCATCAGAGGAATCACTATCTCTGGTAGCTATGACCTTATGAAATGTATTTCTTTATAATAAGACTTGATAGTTGATACTCCTTGATCTATGGGCTGTAAAACAGATGCTGTGTTAGCAGACATGAAAACAACATTAATCTTGTACATCTCCATCAGAGCTCTTAGGTGACCAGGTGCATTGTCAATGAGCAGTAATATTTTGAGAGGAATCTTTCCGGTCTTAACAGTGGGCTTAAAACATTCAGTAAACCATGCTGTAAACAGATGTGCCATCATCCAGGTTTGGTTGTTCCATTTATAGAGCACAGGCAGAGTAGGTTTAAGCATTATTCTTAAGGGCCTAAGGATTTTTGGAATGGTAAATGACCATTGGCTTCAATTTAAAGTTACCAACTGTGTTAGTCCCTAATGTGAGAGTCAGCCTGGCCTTTGATGCTTTGAAGCCGGGCATTGACATCTCCTCTCTAGCTAGGAATGTCCTAGATGGCACCTCTTTCCAATATAAAGCTGTTTTGACTACCTTGAAAATCTGTTGTTTAGTGTAGCCACCTTCACTAATTATCTAGCTAGATCTTCTGGATAACTTGCTGTAGCTTCTCCATCAGCATTTGTTGCTTCACCTTGCACTTTTATGTTCTGGAGACGGCTTCTTTCCTTAACATTCACGAACCAACCTCTGCTAGCTTCAACATTCTTCTTCAGATTCCTCACCTCTCTAAGTCTTCATAGAATTGAAGACAGGTAGGGCCTTGCTCTGGATTAGGCTTTGGCTTAAGGGAACATTGTGGCTGGTTTGATTTTCTCTCCTGACCACTAAAACTTTCTCCCTATCAGCAACAAGGCTATTCCACTTTCTTCTCCATCGTGTGTTCACTGGAGTAGCACTTTCAATTCCGTTCAAGAACTTCTCCTTTGCATTCACAACTTGGCTACCTATTTGGTGCAAGAGGCCTAGCTTTCAGTCTATTTCAGCTTTCAACATGCTTTCCTCACTAAGCTTAACCATTTCTAGCTTTTGATTTAAAGTGAGAGAGGTGCAACTTCTCCTTTCGCTTGAACAGTTCGAGGCCATTATAGGGCCATATATTTTTTTTCTTTTCTTTTTTTTTTTTGAGACAGAGTCTCACTCTCTTGCCTGGGCTAGAGTGCCATGGCATCAGCTAGCTCACAGCAACCTCAAACTCCTAGGCTCAAGCGATCCTCCTGCCTCAGCCTCCCGGGTAGCTGGGACTACAGGCACACGCCACCGTGCCCAGATAATTTTCTCTATTTTTAGTTGTTTGGCCAATTTCTTTCTATTTTTAGTAGAGACGGGGTTTCGCTCTTGCTCAGGCTGGTCTCAAACTCCTGAGATCAAGCAATCCTCCCGCTTTGGCCTCCCAGAATGCTAGGATTACAGGCGTGAGCCACCGTGCCTGGCCTAGGGAGGGTTATTAACTGACCTAATTTCAATATTGTTGTGTATGGAATAAGAAGGGCCAAGGAGAGGAAGAGAGAAGGAGGAACGTCTGGTAGAGTAGTCATAACAAACAAATTTATCGATTAAGTTTGCCATCACATATGGGCGCAATTACAATAGTAGCGCCAAAGATCATCGATCATGGACTACCATGACAGATATAATAGTAATGTAAAAGTTTGACATATTGCCAGAATTACCAAAATGTGATACAGAGACACAAAGTGAGCAAATAATGTTGGAAAAATGGTCCCAATAGACTTGCTCCATGCAGGGTTGTCACCAATCTTCAATTTGTAAAAAATGCAGTATCTGTGAAGTGTGATAAAACAAAGTACAATAAAACAATGTATGCCTGTATATCAACAGTTCATTCCTTTCTATTGCTGAGTAGTATTCCAGAGTATCGATGTGCCACAGTTTTTTTGCCATTTACTTATTATAGGACATTTTGGTTGTTTTCAGTTTTGGGCTACTACAAATAAAGCTGCTATGAATTATCAATAGATGCTATGTGGCAAGGTCAGTACTCTTACTCACTTCTGGTGTTTGGTCCAACTAAAAATGCTGGGGAGAGCCTATCCTCAAGACTAAGGTCAACTGCTTACTCATGCATTCACTCAAAAAACAGCTATGACCCACCAAGTCAGCCAGGCACCGACTAGGCATTCCGGGGTATGCCAAGATGAATCCAAGGGGAATTTCTTGAGAAGCTGCAGTCTAGGAGGAGAGATAAAACAAGAACATAAATCTCTCAATCTAATACAGAACTGAAAGAGCTATATTCCATGGAGAAAGCTCTGGGAACCCTGAAAAAGATATTTGCTGACATAACTAACTACAAGCCCGAATTATATTTTATTTAACCTTGGCCATGAGCTTCAAACGATGTTCTACAAGGAAATGCTCTCTCCCAACCTCTTCAACTTAAACCCTTTTATACTTTGAGCTGGGTATTGAGCTAAGGGTCACAACACTGGTTTTAAAACAATGTCCTTGCCAGGTCTAAGAGTCTCCAAGCACCCTGGCTTGGAGAGTGAGGAAACTTCATACCTATTTTTTTGTTTTCAGTCTTCGTGCCTCCAATAAAACTAACTCAGAAAGAATATCAATTTATTTTATTTTATTTATTTTTTAGAGACAGGGTCTCACTCTGTCACCTGGGCTAGAGGACAATGGCACAATCATAGCTAATTGCAATCTCAAACTCCTGGGCTCAAGAAATCCTCCTGGCCTTCCAAGTAGCTAGGACTACAGGCACGTGCCACCACGCCTGGTTAATTTTTTAAAAGCATATTTTTGTAGAGAAGGGGTCTTGCTATATTGTCTAGGCTGGTCTCTAACTACTGGCCTCAAGCGATCCTCCTGCCTTTGCCTCCCAAATTGCTGGGATTACAGGCATAAGCCACTGTGCCCAGCCCAAGAATATCATTTTAACATCTCATCCATAACAATCAGGAAAAAAATTTATTGTGAAAAAATAATGAATAAAAACACTATCTAATCTGAAGTCAAAACATCCGTCTCACAGGCAATTTATAACTTCCCTTTCCTCAGTTTAGATCTAATCCAGGCTCTGAAATCAGAGCTCGGAAGAGAGAGATGATCTCCTCACTTCTCTCTCCTCTACTTCCCCACCACACGGCTGCTTTGGGTACCTTCAGGGTCAACTGAGTGGAGGCATGAAGGATAAATGGGGCAAAATGCTATTTTAACTCAGCTGGTGTGGTCTGCAGATCTCTCCTGGCTGTCCAAGGGAGCTGTCTCTCTTCTGTCATGGATGATATCCAAACAAAAACTACCCTTTTTTCTCCTGGAGGCTGTGATGGTTAATTTTATGTGTCAACTTGGCTGAGCCACAGGCTCAGACATTTGGCCAAACATGATTCTGGATGTTTCTGTAAAGGTGTTTTTTGGATGAGATTAACATTTAAATCGGTAGATTTTAAGCAGATTATCCTCCATAATATGGCGGGCCTCATCCAGCCAGTTGAAAGCCTTAACAAATCAAAGACTGATCTTGCCTGAGCAGGAAGGAATTCTGCCAGCTGACTTCCTTTGGAAAACATCTGCTCTTCCCTGAGTCTTGAGCCTGCTGGTCTACCCCATCTGATTTTTGAACTGGCCAAGCCTCCACAATCACGTGAGCCAACTTCTTAAATGAACCTGTCTCTCTCTCTCCACACACACACACACCTTCGCTATTGGTTCTGTTTCTGTGAAGAATCCTGATTAGTACAGATGATTTTGTCAGTTTTTCAGAGGACTCCACTGAGAATTTCCTCACCCACCATTCTGACCCGGCAACATGCTCCTCAATTCTCACCTCAGTGGCCTTACTTTCAGCCTCTCTCCAGTGGAATCCCTTTCCCCAGCAAATAGTCCTGCTGGGCAAGGTTCTGTCCTTCCTTCTCACTCCATCATCAGGGACAGTCTCTTGTTATCAGACTTCTTCAGGCACCAGCTGGGCACAGGCTCTATGCCACTCAAACTCATAGGGTCACACCGGCAAGCCCTCTACCCCAAGAAATGAGTTAAGCTCTGTGCCATGGTGGCTCCATGGGATGGGCAGGGTAGAGGGCACTCATTTGCCCTAAGCTTGGAAATTTCCCTGCCAACGTCCTTTGGTAATTCCCAAGGTCATAGGACACAGAAAACGATGTATGAGAACGGTTTCCCCAGGTGCTCCAGTGATACCCGCATCGAAGTTATCATTGTAAAGCTCGTTTCTCTGCAAATAGTTTAGCTTGGCGATTAAGGCTGGCGTTTTGGAGTCAGGCAGACCACTCTATCCTTCAGTGTGTAATAGGCGAGGCAACAAAAAACTGGGGGAAATATGCACCTCCAGTACAGGCTGGTTGCGTTGTGAAGTAAATGAGAAAACACGTGCAAAGTTCCAGGCACACAGTGCGTATACAACACGGGGACAGCTACTGCACTAAAACTAGACCAAGAATACAGGAAAACTTGCGTCGCCATGCGCGAGCTGGTACAATCTTTCGGCTGGAGCACATGGGCGTAAGCTTGGCCCGCCGGTTCAGCCCTTGCCTAAGGCCTGGAAGGGCAGCACGGGAAGAAGCCAGGCCTACACTCAACCCAGCTCTTCCACCCGCACTGCGGTACTCCGCGCCGCAGCCAATCAGATAGCGGCGTTTTCCATGGGGGCGGGACTTCCTGCGGTAGCGCGCACGCCCCCATACGTGGTCCCGCCCCGGAACTGCGGTCGACGCTGCAGCTGCGGGACTGTGGCGGTTTCTGAGGCGGTTGTCCTGTGTCTGAGGGAGCTGTAGCGCCATCGCCACACGGTGAGTACCAAAACTGGAGCGGGGCTGGAACCGCCTCCAGACAGGGGTTGGGGGAGGAGCCGGGCTCTCGTCGCTGGCTTCTCTGGGCTGTTGGGCTCCCTGGGTCCAGAGAGGGCGGCCACCCCGCCCAGCTTCGTGCCACGGTCCCCGCGCCCTGGGCCCCTTGTGCGGGCGGCAAGGCCTGGCGGCCTCAGCTTCTCGACTTCGCGCGCCCCTTCTTGCCTGAGACGAAGCGGGAGCGCCGGTCACGGGACTGGCGCCACGAAGGAGGCCCTTGTTTGCTCTGCAGGTCGCTCTCTGCGTCCTCGCCTCCGTTCCAGTGACGCTCCCGCCCCCTTCTCAGCGTTGGCCCTGCTTGTCGTCGTGGCGCAGCTCGTTCGGTGGGCGAACCGTCACTGTGTGCTGACGCGCTTCCCTCGCCGGGCGCCATGCTAAGTGGTTTTTGACGTGCGTCATCCTTTCGTGTTGGCATAACGATCTTGTGGGACAGATGTCCTCATTATCCCCATTTTGCAGACGAGGAAATTGAGGCTCACAGAGGTTAATACGTTCCCCACCGACCCAGAGCTGGCAAGTGGTGGGTCCGGATTTGAACTGAGGTTTACCTTTGCCTTTTCCACAGACTCTGTTATCTTTCTTGGTCCAAACGGATTGTACCTAAATGGTCTTTAAATCACTTAAAATGTGATGGAAAAGATGGATGGGTTTTAAGCCATTTGTCAAAGGCCAGAATGGTGGAACAGGCATGTGTCCTCTTGGGGCAAGGCTTGAGAAGGAAGAAAGCTCAGTAACTTTTAGTAAAGCTCACCCCTCCCCTCGCCCCCTGCCCCCACAAAAAAAACCCTCGTCTTCTTATTCTGCCTTCAAAATGGCTTATGTGTGGCAAGCTTCATCCATGTTTTACATAATTTTATTTATTTACCCAAAACATAAAACTTAGGTATTATTAGGCCCCCTCCCCTTTTTTTATAGATGAGAGAGCACTGTAGTTCATAGAGGAGTAAATAGCACTGTCCAAGGACACACACACAGAAGTGTTGGATATGGAGTTCAAACCAGGTCTAGCTCTTATATCTTTGTTCCATCTCCTGTGTACCTTCCGTTCCAGGTAAAGATCCCTGTTCTGTGCTATTTCTTTCCTCGTTTGATCTTCTCTAGCTGGGAGCATCTGTGTTATAGCCATCTTTATGTCCTCAGTTCTTTGCAGGACCTGGTATTTGAGAGATTACTTAGAAAATATTTGTTGCATCAGAACCCTTTGCTTCTCAGTCACCAACCTAATAGAACATTTCTCTCCTTTTCTTTTTGGCAACCATGAAGATGAAAGAGGCGAAGCCAAAGCCACCAAACTATGGCAAATTTCAAACAAAGGGAATCAAAGTTGTGGGAAAATGGAAGCAGGTAAAGATTGACCCAAATATGTTTGCAGATGGACAGATGGATGACTTGGTGTGCTTTGAGGAACTGACAGATTATCGATTGGTCTCCTCTGCCAAGAATTCCTCCATGCTCTTCTCGAAGGAGGAGCCCAAGAAGAGAAAGGCACAAGCTGTTTCAGAAGAAGAGGAGGAAGGAGAGTCTAGCTCCCCAAAGAAAAAGATCAAGTTAAAGAAGAGTAAAGATGTGGCATCTGAAGGAACCAGTACCCAGAAAGAGTTTGAAGTCAAAGATGCTGAGCCAGAGCCCCAGGGAGATGGCACTATTCGTCCTGATCCAGAGGTGGGGGGGATGGCATTAGAAAACCTGGCCCAGACTGCTCCAAAAAAGAAGAAAAAGAAAGGGGGGAAAAAATTGGAACCTACCCAGAGCACTTCCAGTAAGGTGCCCAGAAAAGCAAAGACATGGATGCCTGAAGTTAATGACCAGAAGGCAGATGTATCAGCTTGGAAGGACCTGTTTGTGCCCAAGCCAGTTCTCCGAGCACTCAGCTTTCTTGGCTTCTCTGCCCCCACACCAATTCAAGCCCTGACCTTGGCACCTGCCATCCGTGACAAGCTGGACATCCTTGGGGCTGCTGAGACAGGTAAGGGCAACTCTGGCCAGGGAAGGATCGTTTCTGGATTGAGCCTGTTGCTGCTATTAACCTAGATGACCAGGAGAAAAAGAAATGTTGAGAACATAACCACAAAAGCAATGTTGAATGAAAATATTTAGAAGTCAGCCAGCTCTGGGTTGAGATCTGCCCTTCCTGATTGGTATCCTAGCTAGATCACATAATTGCTCTGAACCCTAGGGAACCCGTTACGAAATGGAAATAACAGCAGTACCTACGGATTCCCTTGCTATGAGGGTTAAATGCTACAGTAAACTAAAGCTTACACCGTACCTTGTAAGTGATCTGCAAATGGTGCGTTTTCCCATTCTTGAGCCTTTTTTAAATGACTCAAAGGGGTAAGGTAGCTCTTCAGGAGTATAAGGAATAACTGTCTAATAATCAGGAGTTATCCAAAGGTAAAAAGGGTTGCTGCTTTGGGAATTTGTGAGTTTCTTGTCATTGGAAGGATTTGAGTGTGGTGGATAACTGCTGGGTGGATTTCATAGGTAGATTCAGGTGTGAGATGACTGTTAGGACTAGGCTGTGTTTAAGGTTCCTTATTCTTTGGGTCAAGACTTTTGGAAGCAATGACAGGTTGACTTGCTGGGTAAACTAGACTGGGGGAAGGAACTTGTACTGCCTGAAACTATTAGTCCATTTAGATCAGCAGCATCCAATAGAAATATATACAGTTCCTTAGTATTCATGGAAGATTGGTTCCAGGAACCCCCTCAGATACCCAAATCCATGGATGCTCAAGTCCCTCGTATAAAATGGTGCAGTACTTGCATATAACCTATGCACATAATCAGATTACTTATAATACCTAGTACAATGTAAATGGTATGTAAATAGTTTGTTACACTGAATTGTTTAGGGAATAATGACCAAAGTCTGTACATGTTCAGTACAGATGCAGTTTTTTGTTCAATTGTTTTCAAT